TCCGGCCGTCTGACCGTCCACCGTCAACCGGAATCTAGCCTCCACTCATCTACAGATATCCAGAGACAACAAAGTAGCGTTTCCTCATAATCTTATAACATCATTCGTAATACATCTCTCGCTACCTTTAGTCTCTTCAACAGTTTCGACTCTACCAAAATTCGAACCATTTCCTTCGCACCCCCCTGTTAACGGAGCGGCCTCTTGTACTTCAATATGCTATTCAAAAATTGGCGGAGAAATGGACCCTGCCAGAGATTATCCAAGGGCTTCAAAGAACGCTGCAAAAAAGAAACTAAAGGCTTGGACAACAAGCCCATCACTTCAATTGGTCCAGCTGTTTTCCGCTGATGTCGACATCAATGGTGAAAGCTTTACATCATCCCACAATCTAGTCGGTCATCATTTCGGATGTTTGCTGCAGGACAGAGAAGGCAGAGAAGACGGAATTAGGCGTTACAACTGCGCTGAGGCCGAGGTTTTTGGCAAAAATCTACTCGTTGCGCCTGTTTCCGCTGCACAAGAGCCTCTGTTGTATCTCGCTCTAGTGACGTGGGACGAAAGTATGCTACCAGGAGAAAGGAGGAAGGATCAACTCTTATTCCCACTTACTGATAAATCAGGGAGAGCTCCAACGGTACGTGCTGCATTTGAAAGATGCAGCGATGATTTTACATCCAATGCTTCCACTGATAACCCAAGGGCAATGAAGGCAGATGGGAATTTATTGGAAGTACTTGTGTATGCCTCTCTGACATTGGCATCCATGAAAACTACTCCCGGTGACCACAACAAATACCTTTCCGGTGTGCATCTGAAGAACTTCATTCCTCTAGTGCGCACTTTGATGTTGGATCAATATCTGCAAGGACTTCCACCTGTCCCCCAGGTGTTCAATGACCTGGTTTTCGAATGGCCCACTGTTCCAGCATTGGGAGGCTCCGAGCCTGGATTACCAAAGGAACTGGGCCAAGTTTGCGGTGCAAACCTGGGTTATCTCGAGAGACCTGAGGACAGTGTTATGATGGCTTTATATCTTACTTGCATTGCGAAGACAAGGGGTCCGGAGAGCCCTTCATTAGCATTGAGTGCAAGAATCTCTCAAATGGTGTCGATTCTACTGTCCTGAAGAAAGAATTTCAGCGCATCCGGGGCGGCATCCAGTGTGCCTTGGTATTTGTATCTCATATCCAACAAGGGGCATTTCAACAGACTACTTTGGCAACAGTAAAATCAGAGTGTTTTTCGAATCACGACGCTGACTCGGTCAGTGTCCTTTAGTGGAATAGGGATAAAGGGGAACCTAGCTTCTTGAAAATGAAGGGGGGCGGAACTTTCGCTGCCACGGAGAAAACGTCGCTGCTGGTTGTCACTATTTCTGTGGGCGTCATCGATGCGTGTATAAGCCGGAAGAAGCCGCGCCTTGCATCCACCAACTGTGATTACTTGACTTGACTTATTGGCGGTGCAGTCGCCCTTCAACTGCTTAGATATTCTAATGCAATAACAAGAGAGTTGTGATAGTAACTTTGGCTCCTCTCCTTAGTTGACAGAGAAGCTGGTAGTGCCCTCCCAGTCAGTGCTGGAAGTTGAAAGGAAATGGTGCTCAGGGCAGCTACCCGATGGGCAATGGGCAGCTGTCCTTCAAGAAGAGACCAGGGTATGCGACCATAGCTGCAAGTTAGTAGCTATATGATAATGTGAAAGATACTGAGATAGTCAGACTGGTTGTGTAGGCGCCATATTGGTTTAGTTCATCCTGTAGTCATCCTTCACTTCTTTCCACACTGCTGTATCAGACCAACTTTGTGGCTGTTGGAGGAAGAATGGGAAAGATATTTCGCATTTTACTATTTTGTTTTGAATTAGAATTCTATTTCGAATTTTACTATGTTTATTTTACTATAAAAAGTTTTTTCATGCTTTCGTACCAGCTGCTTCACTGCTGTTCTGTGATAAAAAGCTAGCTTGTATCGATGTTGACTGGTCAACTGGTTGGGTCGGGAGTACTGTAGAATAAATAAGCCTGATCAGACAATTTTCCGCCACGAACCGTCTGTCATCGTCCGGAGTTCCCAAAATCGCGAAGCTGAGATAATCGCGAAAAACCAAAATTGAGTTAGCTCACAAGCGTTCCAGGCACCAAACCTCACCAAAACCAAGCACTTACCATATAACAAACTCATTATCTTGATAGACTAGATCTCTATTAAATTAAACAGCACCAGTAGTGGCACCAGCAGTGATGGACCTGGCTGCTCTTGCGCCTTTGGAAGCCTTTCGGTTGTTCTTTACCTTCTCGCGTCTTTCCTTTCCTGGGTCCTCGTGGTACCATTTGAGCCCTTTCTTTTTCTCCTCGGGAATGAGAGGACCCCATTTATCATGCAGTTCAATCCACTTAATGTCTTGGACACCGATGGCATCAAGAGACTTGAGTTCCTTCATTCGGAGGAGCCAGTTTGGCTTAGAATCCCATTCCGGTTCTTTTTCGATCCTCTTGTTGATACTCTTCTTCTGTAAGTTTTCGTAGACAGTGGGGCCGTTGCACCACTCCTGAATGGCGAAGGTGGCTCCATTATCTTTGCTTGCAGTTGCCACAAACATGTGGTTGTCATCCACACCACTCTTGATTCTGTACATGTATTGGTTCTCGAACTGGTCAAAGTCAAACATATCATCGCTAGATACCCAAACAGGTTGAACCTGTTCATGCGTCAGTGCCTCCACCATGTCCTCCGGTAGATAGATGTTAGCCTGTAGTAGGAGAGAGTAGTAGAAAGCAAGTGGGTAAGACGTATTGATTTGAGGTTTTCGTGGGAAGAACAAGCGCCATGGTGTCACCTTTCGATAGTTCTTCTTCATGAGGTTGAAGAGTCGGTCGCAGTCATTCTTTGTGTGGCCTCTAATGAGGAAGCAACACATGACTGTCTCAGCTACACGAAGCTTCACCAGCAACAGGATAAGACGTATCACCATGTTGTTCTTGTTTTGACCAGGACAGTTGTCGAAGAAGAGAGAGAGCTCCTTGTAAGGCTCCGTTGTGTACAGTATTCCAGACTGTTGTAGATGCATCCACAGGAGAGAAGCAACGTTGTTCCCTCCTTTCTTCGCGACATCTTCTGTGTAGACATAAGCTCCCAACTTGTCCACGCTGGCATCAACAACACCAAAGCAGAATGTATTGAGAGGGCTGTAGTAATAGGTTTCGCCAGGTTGTTCAAATCCAAAGGAAGGAAGTCCCATGTTCTGTGCATAGTCGGCAACAAAGCACAAAGTCCTCTCGCTTGTACTGTTATCCTTTGTGCTGATGGCCAACGCTTTCTTCTGCTGGAACAGTTCCCTTTGGTCATTGTACATGGTGACATGATGCTTAATCTTCGCCAACAGGACCTCCTGCTCATTCAGCAATTGAGTGCGCTCTGCCTTGGATGCCTCATCTTTCCTCTTCGCGATTTCCTGTTGCTCATTGCCGTCGACTTGTTGTTGTTGCTCTGGGTCGTCATCGTCTTCTTCATCTCCAGCGAGAACCATCTCATCGATAACAGCTTCTCTCTGTTCCTTCGCTTGAAGTCGGTTGATGACAAACTTGTGCCTGTTCGCATGCTTGAAGCATTCGTTGCAAACGTCTTCCCTAGGGCGACACACTACGATGTGCTTGTAGTGTTTCTTCCAGTGCGCATGGAATTTCGCCCAGCTGCAGACAGGTTTCTGTTCCACGCCAGGTAGGGGAACATTACAGGAGATCGCTCCTTTTGCATCCACTGAATACTGATAGCCGTTCTCTCGGACATACCGTCCAAACAGTTGCCGCTTGCTGTGACAGGAAGGAAGCTCCAACAGTTCATCATCGGTGTTGCGCAATGACTGGTGCACCGTTGCCCCAATCAACTCTCTGACAAAAAGAGTAGCCCGTGGACATGCAAGCTGTTTCATTTCTTCGAAGAACTCGTTCAGTGGAACGTCTACAGCTTCCTTGCTCCTGTATTTCTTTCCATCATTGCCGTGTCCCATGGTTCTCTTTCCATCAGCGATTTTCTCGCAATTGTTCCACTTGTCCCATCCGAAACCAATCATTCTGGACAAAGTGTCGCGGCAACAGGTCACTCGCTTGATTAGACCTGGCAAGAGGAAGCATCTCCGCTGTTCCTTGGCACTGTAAAGGTGTTTGTGCTTCATTGTCTTGCGTGTGTACTTGATCCATTCCAGAACAAAAGACATCTGCCCATTCCGGTCCATGAGGCCAAACTGGAAAAGGGAATTAGTCAAAACACGAGAGTAGTAGCTCCCTGGCTCTGGGATGTCCTTGCAGCAGGTGCACGCCTTCTCCCTTCCTTGGTTCTTGATTGAGACGCAAGTGTCGAGAGCTCGGTACTCTGTCAACCATTGTTGAATTTCCTCCTTCAGTGCTTCCACGTTGGGCGGATTCTTGCTCTTTCCTCCTCCGACAAGCTTGTTTCGAATGGCGGGAGAGTGGATCTTCCTCACAGGGCTGATTGCAATGCTATTACTAGATGTAGCGGCAGTAGTTGGTGGCTCTGTCATGGTGTCTATTGGGTGGACTTCCTCATCTTTAGTTGACTTGGAAGCAGTGTCGATAGTGCGAAAGCTAGAACGATCGAACTGCACAAGAGTTACGAAAAGAGTGGTGGGAGTCAGCCAATGCCGCACGATTAACGATCGCAACTGGAGGAGTTAGATCTGTCGGTTAGCCCCTTCTCAGTAACTAGACGTCGGACAGGTATGTTCAATACATCGCTGGATACGTTATTAAATTTAGAAGACGTCTCGCGCGAAAAAGATTTTTCGAAGGTCCTCACATTTTGACTGACGACGGACGGACATGCGCGGAAAATTGTCTGATCAGCCTTAAATGTATCTTATCCATGAGGCAGGCAGTACCGGTACAGTCGTGGAGTTGCTGCCTTTTGGATCCTACCGTGGAGTAAAACCAGCTCTTCCGGCTTCTTCTTCTCAAGCAAGATGGATCAATCAGCTCTTCTGGTTTTCGTGCTCAAACTCGGCATGACAGTCACTCGGCAACATCGGCAATGGCGAAAGACCACTACTACTATGCCGCCTACGGCACCGCGGCGCTGTCCATGGCAATAGGATGGAACCGCAACAGTCCCTCGCTCTTCAAGACGACGGTAGATTCATCCGTGCCGTGGCTGCTGTCGACGTTGGGTGGATGGTGGTTATTAAAGGCTCTGGGAAGCGTGCCCATTGGCATCTCACACAAGCTAGGAACCAAACTTGGGACTCACAACAACAGCAATAATAATACTGAAAACAACAAGAGACGCCTGGGATTTCTCGAGCGCTGGTATGTGGCCCATTCCAGGTCTGGGATGCATACTGGGTTCTTGATTGCACTCGAGTTGGAGAGTAGTAATACCGAGACGTCGTTGTTGTCATTGGAGGATACGAGGCAGATTCTGAGACGGGTCTGTCAGAAATTTCCTTGGTTGCGAGTCAAATTGAAGCGCGATGGAGTCGATGGGATCGATTCCCGTGAATTTCTCAAGCCAGCGTCATCATCCTCCACAGAAACAGAAAACACCAACGGTTTGTGGGGCGACGACTTGTACGTGCAAGTTTTGAGTCCTCAGCAACCATCGGGTGATTTCTTTGCTTTCAGGCAGGTAGTGGTGGAGAAGGAGTCCAACATTCCAGAGGTTTTGGAACGAACTCTGGAAGAAGAAAGCACCCAAGAATGGCACGACGAAGACCCCAGTGCCCCCTTGTGGAGAGCCACTGTTCTCAGCACTGCCGATAACCCACACAGATTTTCCTTGATTTTGGCATTCCATCACTTGATTGTAGATGGAGTTGGAAGTACAAGCATTGCCCAGGCGATTCTGGATGAAATGAACAGCCAAACACCTAATGGCAACAAGAGCACGGATGATGAAGCAACCATCAACAACAACCCACTAGCCCCGCCAATGGAGGACTTGATGGATACGGTTCCTACCTTGAGCCACTTGCTCATCCCAGTGCTTTTGGATCGATTTCCCAGTCTTGAAACGTACTTCAAGCCGATCCATTGGAAAGGACTCACAAAGCATGATGCGGGTGCAAGACAGAGCACCATGGTCTGCTGTCCAATTTCCTTGAATGGACAACAACTGGCAAAGGTATGCGAGGACATGAAGTTTACGTTCAATTCACTTTGCGTGGCAACACTCTGCAAGGCGATTGCCAAAACAGTGGGAAACCAAAAGGAACACATATCTGCCGCAATGACAACTACTCAAAATAATGGGATCAACTCGGTAAACTTCAAAGTGATTGTAGCCAAGAATGAACGCAACAATTGCCATCCAGTCAAGCCGGACGATCTGGGAGTCTATCTTTCCGGTCCCCAAGTCTACGTCTCTTGTTGCTCTTCCAACAACAACGCCACCACTACGAATAAAGCCGAATACCAATCGATTGCCTCCTCGTTTCAGCAACGGCTCCGCGCATTGTATCGCGCGGCTGCCATGGACATGGGCTTGTGTGTCTTTATTCCCGGTGATTGGATTCCGTTCGCATCCAAGTTCGCCAAGAATGAACCCAATGGTATCAATGACAGCATTGAATTCAGCAATCTAGGAAAGGTACGATTTACCACAAACAACGGAACGCCCAACAAGTGGAACGTCAAGGACTTTTGGTTTGCCCAAGGACGGAGAGAGACTGGCGCGGCGATCATTGCCACCATTACTCGCAGCGGGGAGGCTGGTGAGGAGATTAGAGCCGTGATGAGTGCGTTTCCCCAGGCCGTGCCAAGAACTACTCTAGCTCAGATAGCCGATACTTGGAAATCAGATTTGGAACTTTTGGTTGGAAAGAATGAACACAAACACCGTTTTGAGAACTGATAGAAATCCCCGTTTTGACTCTCTTATTATCTAGCCAGCATGCTCGTAATTCACACAAGGAACCGTGACGGCGGAGATACGTCGACACATACAACATTCTTTACCAAGTACGACTTATAGGGTAGGCGGCATTATGGTATTGCGAGTGGTGTGTTTTGTTTTTGAAGCGGCAGAAGGTGGTGGTAAACCATGAAATAGAGATTGAGGCCAAAAGTGGTGCTCGAAATAGTACCTTGATTTGAGGCGCTCAAACGAAGTTTGCGATCAAGTCTAACCAGCAGCTATGGACATCAAGAAATGACACAAATGTAAGCGGAGGCTTATGGAAAATCAATTGGCAAGTCCCTTTCTTTTTATATGTTAGACTGCACTACAGTAAGGTTCCCTCCCGAATCCCGCCTTCGAAGTGCTCCACCCAATTGAATTCCATGGCCCCCGAAGCAGCAGTTGTTCCCTTCCCGATTTCTTCTTTGTTTTGTACTTCCACTACCACGGCATGTTCAAAGCATAGAAAAGAGGTGCCTTTTTCCTTTTCTTGCAACTCGAATTGCACGGACGAACGACAGCACTGGTGGACTTCGACCGACTCCATCTGAAACACCTTCTGATGCTCCATCTACTAGTGTTTCTGCTCCTACAACTCCCACCACAATTCCAACGCCAAACAGTAGATGTTGTCTCTGGAGTTGGTGGTGTCTCTGATGGGGCCCCATCACTTGAAAGCACCTCACTTTCACAATCACTTGGTGTTGTGGAAGGATCATTCGTAGATGCGGTCTCATCGCTTGGTACCTCACTTTCACATTCGCATTCACTTGGTGGGGTGGAAGGAATGGCTGAAGGATCATTCGTAGATGGAGTCTCATCACTTGGTTCCTCACTTTCACATTCACTTGGTGAAGGATTCGTAGACGATGGAGTCTCATCACTTGGTAGTTCCTCAGTCTCAAGTGGTGTCTCTTGAGCGGGGCTCTTGTAGGCTTCTTCTTGGTCATGAGGGCGGGAATAGTAGGACAGCAAGAACGACGGATCCTGACTCAGCGTGTGAAACAACACACTGAGGGTATCTTCGTCGTGTTTTTTGGGTTCCTCTTGCTTGTTCTGAATTAGTATTCCCGTCATGATGACATCCACCCAATCTTGATTGGTAGCCGACTCGAACTTTCGCAAGAGCTGGCTAGCACCCGATGCATTCAACTGGGTATACATGTGCAACGCTGCCTGCAGTTGTTCTGGAGCATCTGTTTGCAAGACCTGCAGCGTCTCGTTTTGTTTCTCTTGAAAGACACGCAACAGTGGTGCATAGGTCGTCTTCGTCTTTTCCTCGCTCGCATCATCATCCTTAAAGCTCCTGAGATCGAGTGATTCCAGAATCGTGTTGGATGTCAAGGCATCCGCAAGGGCCACAATATCGCTGTCATGGAGCTTGGCACAAGACAAGACGAGGTGTTTCAGCACAGTGCTGTTGTGTTGATCCGCCAATGCCTTTGCCACGGCAGATACCCCACTAGTAGTGCTTTCGCCGTCGACGCAATCATCACTGGATCCATCGAGCAGTTGCACATCCACCAGCGAAGGATGATGACCAAGGCAAGTGGCCAATGCAATACAGGCACGTCGATCAAATCCTCGCAGCACCAGTTTGCCCAGATGAGGACAGCGAGACACGCACTTGTCCACAACGAGCGATGACAAGTGGGTTCGATTCGGCGGCAACGACACGGACAATTCCTCCAGTTGGGGAAGGCTGGCACAAGCTTCCATCAAAAGCTCCATTTGATCGACCGTCAGACAAGCCAGGAATTTCCAATGTAAATATACCTTTTGCAGAGTGCCATTGGAATGGATGGCATCGACGAGAGCGCTAAAGTCCAGCCCGACATGGTTGGCAGATAGAGTCAAGAACTTGATGTACTCGGCATTCTTGCGAAGGTTCGCTATCATGTTGTATAGAGGTGGCATCGTTGTTTTGTTGTTTGTTGTTGAGAGATGATATTATGGCAGTTCCTGTCGACCACTAAGAATGCAGAGAGCTGGTTTGTTGGCATGCAAAGCACCCTTGGCAACTCGGTCCCATTTCAAAAACTTGTATTGTGGGCAATTTTTCAGATGCAGCCGCTTTCGTCACGAAAAGATCCAGTGGACACGAGAGAGCTCACGAGAGACTTGAACCAGCAAGAGCTTGCTGGGACCATGATTTAATGGATAATCAAGCTTTGGGTTCCTTTCAATAAAGTGCTTAAATCACTGGTGATATGCCTTTCTGACGATCGTTTAGATTTACGATCATGTTTAGCAGAACCGTGATGTTTGTTTAACGAAGATTTGACCTCCCCCAAGATCCTGGATCCTGGGCGCATGTCCTGCTACAACGACTGGATCTTCACCAAAACTAACCTCACTTTTTGCATCTTGGAGTATCTTGGCACTTGGCATGGTTCTTCCATGGCACCGGAGAGTGTCAGAGCACCGTTTGGCAAACTTGGTTGGCAGCATACTACGGTATCCCGCACACATGGAGGAACTGGTCTCTGCGGAGACACAAGATAGATTTCCTCGCCTATCAGCTCTTGCATAGTTCACGGATCTGTGCTTGCATTGCATAGCTCGTGGGCGGATGGAGCAATAAGCTACGGCATCGCAAAACTGCTGCAAGTTGCCAGTGATGCACTTGTCTTTTATGCTTTATTAGTCATTAATTTGTGTTCTATCTTCAGTCTTCTGTTTGTTTCTAGGTCTTGTTCGCTGCAATCTATCAGTGATCGACGTGACTTTGTGGCCACCCTCCTCACTCGCAGTTTTCCCATGAATCAACAACAACGTCGGATACAATAGAAGGCTCTTTATTGCTTGCATCGGAGCTGTTCTCTTTCCCAACAGTGGCGGCATCACTACCTTGATCTTCCAAGTCCTCAATCGAAAAAACAAGATAGTCTTCGGCGTCGGTATCCTCCTCATTATTGTCGTTGCTGTTGACCCAATCGTCGCTGCCATGTGCAGCTGTCACTTTGGTGCGCCTCTCTGATTCAACCGCGATGAGGTTCTCCTGGGCCATTTCTTCTACGCCTTCCACCCAGTTCCTTGTCCAAGGAAGGACATTGATGAGACATCCACCAAGGCCAATGAAGATCAGCAACCACCAAAAGTTGATAATGTTGGTGCTTGCGTATGCTTCCAATGACGCAATGTTGCCACTTCCACTGGCATCGGTAAACCAAGGCTTGACTGCTTCATCAAGTGCCATGCAAATAAAGTTGGGAATACCGCCAATGAAGAACAGGTTGATGGCAGATGCCAGAGCCTTTTGTTCTTTGGGAGCAACCTTGTAGGCTGCTTCATAGGCCGAACTGATTGCAAAGAGCTCTCCGCATCCAATGAGGAAGTATGAAAATGATTGCCACAAGATACTGATCTTTTTCCCACTGCGATTGTATGTGGCGTGAATCTGGTATTCAACAACGAGTGTGCAGACGCAAGAAAGAACAGTACAAAAAGTTCCCATGGCAAACTTGTGTGTAGTCGCAATGCGGATTCCCTTCCTCTCAAGGAATGGATACAGCACTTGTCCAATGAGGGCCCCGAAGACAAGGACGCTTATGGCATCCATATTCTGCATCATGGATGCATCAATGAAGCTGACATTCTTCATGACTGTCCCCTGCACAATAAACGTTGTCGACATTTGAGCATAGACAATGTTGAAGGGGACCACAAGGGCAGTGATTGGGATAATGCATAGAAGCTGCTTGACGCTTTGGACCATGTGGTCTGAGAATCGTCCACCATTGGAAGACATGTTGCTATTCAAACTGCGACAGCGACCAGCCGAATTCCCAATGACGCGACCTACACTCAAGAGTGATTGCATATTGGGTTGCACTTTCACATAGCGCGAGGAACCCAGAACAAACACCAGGATAACGAGGGCCATGGTGGCAACTGGGATGAAATACGCAACTGTAACATTGTGCTGGGCAACAATAGGAATGAGAATACCTCCTACCAATGCCCCGATATTGATGAACATGTAAAAGTTGACGTAGTACTCGGAAAGCATGGAGGATTGCAAGACTGGATGGAATTGTTTGGCTCCAAAGATGTTGACAACTGACTTGATAGCTCCTGCTCCCAAAGGATAGAGAACGGTAAGTCCAACCCGAAGTGCCGTCATATTGAAGGTCTCTCCAAGCAATTCTGGGACTGTAGTCAAGGCAATCAGAATCATTCCTGGAATGTAAAGAAAACTAGTTCCAAGAGCAATAACCCAAAAGTCTCCAAGTAGGGCATCTGCAAGAATGGCTCCCAAAAAAGGAGAGGAATAGGCAATGGCAGTCGACAGACTTGTTACGGATGCAGCCTCAACTCCGGTCAAGCCGGCATTCCAGTTGTCGTCATAGACACCCATCAAGTATGCTGTCTGCGTAAAGTTGATGCCATAGTAAGAAAAGCGTTCGAGTAGTTCACCACCGCAGGAG